GCAAGTTTACTTATTTCCTGGTATTGCCCTACAGGTCACATTTCAGCTAACTTGGCTTTATAAATGCAATCAGAACTAACATTAAAACATACAAAAGGCTACCAAAATTTTCCTCTCACAAGCTTTACTTGGAACAGCTTATGTCCTGAGACAATACCTTTAACACCATCAAACAACAACATCTGCCAATTCCATGTCCTTGGGAAGGACTTGGTAGGTAGATAAAAATGCCAAATCTAGTCTAAACAACTGGAGTTTAGACTACATAATAATTTCATTATTATGATCAACCATAATAATTTCATTTTTATTATTCTTCCAGTGGTATTCATGGTTGCTTTTACAGTGGTATAACTAGGTATGACAATTTTGTTTTCTCAACTGTTTTAGAAAAAGAAATATAAAATTGATTATTCAAATTAAAATAAAAGCAGAGATTTCATTGGACATCTTGGTTGGTGTGCAATATTTGATCTTTCTGAACTCCTCAATGTTGTGATTCTTACATTATGAGTTAAGACCAATCACTGAATTTCAGTCTTGATCGAGATGAGTTTTGGAGTTCATTTACTGTCCAGCTTTCCTGCATCTGGTAGCATTATCAGAAAGGATCTGTATGCAAATTAATTGATTAAAATGAACAGTGCTGTAAAATATTCTGTATTTTTTTGTCAATAGGAATAATTCTAGGTTCTGTCTACATGAATCCCAGTTGTTAGTTAGTGAATTTTGTATGTGTGATTTTCAACAGTCCAAACGAGATTTCAGGCTAGAAAGCCATGCAGAAACAGAATTGAATTAAATTAGGGCTATAAATGAATACAAATAAAATAATTAGAAATTATAAATTGAAATTCTAGTTACAAATTCCAATCATAAATACTACAAGTTCCCAAACCTACCCACCATGACTACTTTTTAATATACAAGAACCAAATATAATAATGTTGATTTTAGTTTTGAAGAAACATTTTCAGAGTTACATGGGAATTCCATTTACTTGAAATGCAACATACATCCTAGCTTATTAGCCATTTCTGTTGATAGACATTTATGCAAATTGTAGAAATTTATTTGGTTTTCAGATTCTAAGTCAACAATCATCACTTGATGACTGTTAGGTTCCCATTTGATTACTGAATGGAATTTCATAACTACCCTATTTCTAAACTAATCATTTCTTTTCTAGATATGGATGACTATGTTGAATGTCCATAAGATATGTACCCAAACAAGAATCAGGATCTATGTCTCAGCAAAATGATAACATTCTTGATGTATGAAGAATTTTGGGGGAGTGTTTAGGCCAGTTCTGCCCTTTTTTGTTCTTTCATCACAGCTGTAGTCCTGGGGATCTTTATTAAACATTTGGACGCTCCACTAGTTAAAGCCAACAACCAGAACCTTACCTATATTCTCCTTGTTGCTTTCATGTTGTCTTTCCCATGTGCTCTGCTATTCATTGGCCAACCTTCCAAGGTGACATGGGTCCTTCATCAAACTACCTTTGGTATTATCTTCTCAGTGGCCATTTCTTGTGTTTTAGCCAAAAGCATTATTGTGTTTCTGGCTTTCATAGCCACCAAACCTGGGTCCAAGATCACCACATGGGTGGGGCAAAGACTAGCCATG